AAGCATTAACATCTCCACAGGATCATCACCGATCGTTTCAAACATGTGCTGCACTCTCATTCGTGGAAAAATGGCAGCACAGCGAACAAAAAATAATCGATTAGTTGTGAATCGAGTAATTAAAAAATGGGACATCTCTGATTTTGGTGTGATTGTTTTGATAAAAATGAGCGCAAAATTTCATCTCTTCCGAGGGGGCAGCAAAACCACAAAATTACCTTGAATACGGGGGGGTTCTCATTGGATGAAAGGGGCCGTGAAAGAAGACACTAAAATAGAAAGTTTTTCTTCCGACAATTTCATCTTAGTATTCATCTTTGCTACAACCTCGATATTATTATCAATTCAGCATGAGGCAATAATTTTCCATCAATCTGTGTATAAAACCAACACAACACGTTCTACAGCGCTGTTTTTGTGTAACATGAAATTAATCGAGATGAAGATGAATATTGATATTGACAACTACATAGGCGATAATAAACATCCAGCCACGCATGTTGACTTCGATACCCAGAGGTTGCCTTGATCAAGAGAATGTGTTTATGTCAAAATTCAAATTCATGCAGGTAGTTGGTCTATCGGTTAAGGTTGTCTTCGTTTTCAGCTAAGTTGAGTGTAGAAGGAATGATTTGTATCAGCACTGATCACGAGTCTCTCAGCTGTCTCGTAATTGTTAAGGGCCACCCACATTTGATCCGTTTGCGTTGCGTTGACGTAAATTTGACGGTTAGACAATAGATTTAGCTGTCATTTTGCCGCAACGCGTCCGATCCGGATCTAATGTGCGTGGGCCTTTAGAGACGCAGCTGTCTTACCGCACTCATAACGAATATACGTTGTATCCGGGCACATGAACTCGTCTATGTTTGTATTGAAAATGATATGTTAAATTATACGCACCACGGATACAAAGTTTATTCGTTATGAGTTAGGTAACACAGTAGGCAAGGAGGCAAACGTAAAAGCTCTATCCTAGAGCTGTACTAAAACATCATCCTCTGTTCGAATGAAACCTCAGAACATTCAAATCGAAACATCGAAATCGATGTTTCGAATGATAACTGCAACCGGATGGCGATTGTTTTGTAATCAGATCCTACTTTAACTAATTTGTTTGTATTACTTCTGCGTGAAGTTAACGATTTACATAGTTGAAGATGCTAACCATCAAATAACAGACTTAAAGTGGTCATTTTTATACGATCGATGAGGAGATGAAATTATAGAGTTGATAGTTCCGTTAGAGTACAGCAGTGTGGAAATTGTATCTAGAGAGTAGAAAGCGAGCAAGGACAACTTTGAGGAAGGTACGAATCGGGTTGATCATCTCTCTTTACCAAACTCCCCAGTTGGAGAGGGATGATGAGGGGTATCCTTCCGCCACCACTGGCAAAAATAGATGATCGCCGATTTGCTCATGTACCAACGATGTGTAGAAACAGTTCTATTGATTGTACCGCACTCAAGTCGTTATCTGAAGGGAGGCATTTGACGCTTAGCATCTTCAACTATGTAAATCAGATCATGCTTCTCTCAAATACAGGATGAACATTGAAGGATGAGAAGCGCATGGACTTCAGTTGAAATAGGTAATGCTCTCTGTTGAATGAATGTCATCCCAAATTGAAATGCATATGGAATTGGTTCAGCCCCATAACGCAAATCATCCAAAACGAATAACGAGGTGAAAACATATTCATCACTAACAGAGGTGTTAACACCATTGGAAAAGCGTGGAAACAGAAGATTGTCTATTTTGTGGTAGAGAATGTTTCCTCTATCAACAAACGATTTTTGTATCCATTATGGAAAGACTGTTAACTGGTTTTCAATATGGAAATGTGAACAATAGAATTTCAAATCTAATTTACAGCATTTGCAAGTCATCCTTGTTTGTTTTACAGCAAATTTTCAAATAATTTCCAATTTTCCTTTATTTGGATGACAGTCATATGGATGCTCATCAGTTGTTGACGAATTCAACCATAAGGCAATCATTCGAAATTCGAAAGCATATTGTTAAAGGGCTCGAGCAATACTATAATCATTCGAAATATTGCGGATGTTTTCGTACAGTGTAGGCTCTGCTCGATTGGCTCTGGTTTGACAGTTCGTTTGGCTCAAAATCAGCAAGTCACCCCTCTCTTATACTAGACCCTCTCTACTCTATCCCAGGAAAAAGTGTTCGCGTGCAGGAATATTTATACATGAGACCACAATAGACGCAGAGTTGAAAAGTGCACTGCAGATACAGTGTGATCTGGGAGATGTACCAATGGCAATCTCAATCCTGCGATACAGCACTGTTGTGGCAATCGACAACGGAAACAAAGCGCAACGTTGCAATCATTGCAGAGCATTATGGATAGGCAGAGAAGGTGGCGGATAAAGCATGTATGGTTGTAATTCAAGTTATAGGTAGATACCCAATTCAAGAAATGGTTGCGATCTCATACGAAGGTTCCGTGATCACTTACTACGCACCTCCAAGATGGGCATTGGGGCAGTTAGTGGATGGACTTACTGAAGAGCTCATTGGACGGAACCGATCGTCATTAGAGGATATTTCAATGCTTGGGCAGTGGATTGGCGAAGCAGATGTTCCAACGGAAGATGGTATAGACTACTGGAAGCTCTAGCAAAGCTTGAAGTTTGGCTGTCGAACAAAAGCACAGTACTTTCTGTAGTTCGTCGCTGGTGGCAAACATGAACTGGAGATTGTTCGAGTGGTACAGCCGGAGTGACCATCAGGCGATCCGGTATAGCATCGGCCACCGGAATCCTGTGATAATACGGAGGACGAGAACTAGCGAGCGGATTGACGGCGCCGGTGGTGTAGTGGTAAGCGTCACTACTTTCTCACCCCAGTGTTCCTAGGTTCAATCCCAGCTGAGGTCGTTGGGATTTTTCTGAGGCGAAAAAAGCTCTGAAGTAATGCCGTTGGTCCCTGCCCATGTGTTCATGGGTGTACGATATCCACCCAGGAGCGATTCGATTGCCATCAATGGACGACAACTGTAATCAAATTGAGGTTTCATTTTAATGAAACAGCAGAAACTTAATTTCGAATTGCTTTCATTTTGATATCCGACTTGGCTCATGGAACCAATCTCTTCAAGATATTATGGCTACAGCAAAATCACGACGCCCCATTTCAAGACAATAGGGGAAATTGCTCTAATCTTGGCCTATGGATCTAAGATTGGGCCCATCGCTAAAAATCTGCTATTTATCAATTTTATCTAAAGGGTGATACGGTCAAAATTTGGTCAATATCAACTTGACGTATTTCTTTCAATTTTGCATTTAAAAAACCTGAACACCCCTCATTTTGAAGGTGTGTGTGTGTAGAATGTTGCTCCTATTTTGATTTTGGAATTCACTCTTCAGTTGTCAAAATGCCGTCCAAGCAAGAAGAGCAGCGTATCAAAATTTTGCTCGCGCATCGCGAAAATCCGAGCTACTCGCACGCAAAGTTGGCAAAATCGCTAAAAGTTGCCAGATCAACCGTTACAAATGTAATTAAAGTGTTTGGGGAACGTTTGTCGACAGCCAGGAAGTCTGGATCGGGGGGAAATCGAAAACCGGAAGCCGCTGAGACGACAAAGAGAGTTGCCGGTAGTTTCAAGCGAAACCCTAACCTCTCTCTCCGGGATGCCGCAAATAAGCTGGGTGTATCGTCTACAACCGTGCATCGAGCCAAAAAACGAGCCGGACTATCGACTTACAAGAAGGTAGTGACTCCAAATCGCGATGATAAACAAAATACGACGGCCAAAGCGCGATCCCGGAGGCTGTACACGACGATGCTGACGAAGTTTGACTGCGTGGTAATGGACGACGAAACCTACGTCAAAGCCGACTACAAGCAGCTTCCGGGACAGGAGTTTTATACGGCAAAAGGAAGGGGAAAGGTAGCAGATGTTTTCAAGCACATGAAACTGTCAAAGTTCGCAAAGAAATATCTGGTTTGGCAAGCCATCTGTACCTGTGGCTTGAAAAGCAGCATTTTCATAGCTTCCGGGACTGTCAACCAAGAAATTTACGTGAAAGAGTGTTTGAATAAACGTCTGCTGCCTTTCCTGAAGAAACACGGTTGTTCCGTACTGTTTTGGCCGGATTTGGCATCTTGCCATTACGGTAAAAAGGCCATGGAGTGGTACGCCGCCAACAACGTGCAGGTGTTTCCCAAGGACAAGAACCCTCCCAACACGCCAGAGCTCCGCCCAATTGCTAAATACTGGGCTATTGTCAAGCGGAACCTAAAGAAGACCAAAAAAACTGCTAAGGGCGAGCAGCAGTTCAAGGCAAACTGGCTTTCTGCGGCGAAGAAGGTGGACAAGGTGGCTGTACAAAATCTGATGGCAGGGGTCAAGCGTAAGGCCCGGCAATTCGGATTTGGAAAAGCGGAAGCCTAACTGAATATTTTTCCTGAATTTTATACTAATTGAACTTGAAAAAGAAATTTAATTTGATTTTTTAAATAAACGATTTCACCGATTTACACGCGCTTTCCCTTGACCAAATTTTGACCGTATCACCCTTTAGATGAACGCGTCATTGGGACGGTACTAATAGATATTTTTGATTGTTATTGAAAATTTAGTCGATTGCTGAATTTATGTATGGGCCCAAATTAGGGACACTTAGGTCGACATTACATACATTTCACTTACATTTTAAAAACTAGAATAAACATAAATAATTCGGCACTGTCTATTATTATTGGGAATCATCTCTTTACAGTGCATTACGTTTTTGTCGATTTGCGCTGAAATTTTATTGTTCTGTATTTATATTTAATTCAGGAGGACATTTGCATCGATAATGTTGCTTTAAAATAAAGACACTTCATTACTATATCATAGATAACAAGCATTAAGCATCTCTAACTCCATATACCTTTACTACATAAACCTTGTCAAAATCATCAAATATTATAAACAAACACGCCTTGTTCAGAGCACCCACTAATGCAGTTCTCGTTTTTCATCCAGTCAGCCAGCTCACCACGACGTGTGGCCGTACCAGTACTAGTTAAAGATGGCAAGCCGTGTTCCGGCGGCTCTAATTCAAGCGGTTCTGCTCAACAGCAGCAACATCAGCAGCAGCAGCAGCAGCAGCAGGCTCAACAGCAGCAGCAGCAAGTAAGCGGCAGCAATAGTTCCCTAACGTCCAGCGGTGGCAGTGGAGGTGGAGGCGGTGGCGGAGGCGGTGGATCCAGTGTGATTCTAACCAGTGATTCTAACAATACCCACTCACCGGACACGCCCACCACAACGCTGCTATCGTCGTACAACGGTAGTCACAATGTGACCGGCCAGATGCTGCAGCAGCCGTGCAATAACAGTCTCATGTCCAACAGCCTGGCCATGGCGTACCGGAACCAGAACAACTTCATGGCCAACAGTCATCAGCAGCAGTGCGGCAGCTACTTGCCTCTGCAAACCCGAGCCTGGTAATATTAGGTGATTTGTTAGGTTTTTTAAACTTTCTTTAAGCATTCACGGATTCACTGCGGTGTTGACCATTTCTGTTCTCTTTGAAGACCACGTGAAACAAAAGACAAAATCAACTGTTAGCTCTCGAAATAGTTCGTTTTACTTAATTTTATAAATTAATATATTTTAGCTACGCTGTAGATTTGATTTTCTCATGCGTAGAGAAACGGAATACTTACTAAAATGAAAAGCTGTAAATATTAACATAATAGCCAATAAGACGATTCGAGTATCTGCATTTTACACGTCACTGACCGGATGATGGCTAAGCACGAATCGCGACCGGTCACTGACTTGAAGAATGGGAAGAACTATATGGAAATAACACTGGATTTGAAATTTAAGTACAATTGTTACAGTAGTAAGCATGTAAAAAGAAGAAAACATGTGGAACACCAACCGGCCGCGTACATCGACAAAATTGCAATAAAATTACTCATGTATTTTGTAAATTCCTTTTCTCGGAAAAAAAAACAACAACATCCATCTCATTGTAGAACCGATGGGTGTCCTTCTATCGTTAAAACTGAGTTAGAGTGTCTAGAAATTTTCTCATTCTAGAGCACTTCTTAACTTAACGCGATAAAAGAACACTCCCAAACAAAAATGGCACCGACAAAAAGTAGTAGGCATATACAGCTCCCAAATGTCAGCACGACAGGACGAACAAAACAAATCTCAAATTAATTAAAGTGTAAATAGCATTGAACCCGTTAACGTTTGCCAGCAAAAGAGACACGACCGAACAAAAACCAGAAAATAATTAAATTCAATCCGGAGGCCACAAAATTTAAAATTAATTCGATCCCATCATGCAGAAATCGAACTGGTTATCGCAATTGAAAATATTTGCCAATGCAGGAGCTCAGATTGCAGCATATTTGTACATATAGGTACTCAGTTTAAAAGCTTTTTTTCTTCCTGCAAGTAAGCCGACGGAATGAGCAAACATTGAAAAAAAAAATCAAATATTTATTCCCTCCCACCCCCACAGCTATAAATTTGCATACACTCACACACCTTCCCTTCACGCATTGAAATTGTATGAATAACTCAACCAGAACAACAACAACAAAAACAACAAACTGCTGCAAATGCAAATAAGCGGAACGCAAGTGTAATAAAATTCCAATGATATTAAAGGGATAAAAGCTTTTCGTCGGAACAAAAGTATTGAAATTTTAATAAACGAAAGTATGGTAAATCAATCAAATAAGAAAGTTATTTAATTTAATTCATATCTATAAGGGATAATCTAGTGAAACGAAGAAGATGAAGACAACAAGAAGCAGCAAAATCATTTAAAAAAAAACTAAATACACCCTAAACAAGGCATGCGTTGCGGATAAGTTTGTATTAAATTTGAAAGAATATAGAATGTGGTAACTAAAGGCGAAAAGAAGTGAAATAAATATCAAAGTAATGATCAAGATGGTTGAAGATTTATTTTCAAATTGAGAAATTACGTCCTTAGTAAGGAATCTAGAAACGGATTAGGGTCTCAACTAGGGCCTGGCAGCCATGACCCATGCTGCGTATAGGAATCAGAGATCGATGTGTACCTTGGTCGTTTTTGACGTAGGACTACGTCTGTGATTTCTATATGGGGGTACTCTTTGTGAAAACCGAAAATGGAACATGTAACAAAATTATGAATGATTTTGAACATCAATAACTCAACTGCCCCTGGACCAATTTCAATAATTTTATCACCATTCGATCAGAAATTTAGGCATCAATAGCAACGACTGATAATTTTCAACAACAAACTATTGAAAAAATTGTAATGTTCAATGTACAAATAAAAAGTGATAATTTTATCACTGTTTTCATGAAATAAACGTTCTTCCCAAACCCAGTCGTCATAATCGAGTAACACTTGGTCGCACATCATTCTGCTTTATCCTTAAAAGGTATAGGTAGTCCACTCTTCTACCTAACAAGCAGCAATGACTGGTCGCCAAGCGTCTTCGCAAGGTTCTTCGTAATAACCGCCATTCGTCGTCTGGCTCACCGTGGCGGTGTCAAACGTATCTCCGGTCTGATCTGCGTGTTCTACTACGAAGGTGACTTTGAAGCAACTGAGACGCACTCTGTACGGTTTCGGAGGTTAAATCATAACCAACTTTGGCAACAAAACGACCCTTTTCAGGACCAACAAGCTTATTACAGTAAAGAGTTGGAATAGAAATTATCTTTGGCTTTTTAATCCATATTCAGAACCACACGCCCCCAACGACTACACAAAATGCTCTCCAGAGTTGTACACCCCTATTCTGTATTTCATTTCAAACGAAATTCTCATACAAAAATATTTTTTTTGTATGAGAATTTCATTCGAAACGAAATACAGAATAGGGGTGGTAATCTTGTAACCAAACTTGGAAGCAGAGGTGCAAGTGATTTTCATGGATACTCTTCATCAACTTTCTCTTTGGAAAATATACTACAAATTTGGTACGCCTACAATTCAAAAATGGAAAGAGTTAAGATAATAGATGATCGATCAATTAAAAGAACTAAATGATCTTCACATTTGTTCCGTCCACTAGCGGTCCTACGACAAGCTTCCGTTCGTGCCCCTAGGCACAGACCCTTCTACTTTTCTCCTTGATTTGTTTTCCGTTCAGTGAGTACTACAGTGATACAAAATATCATGACACTCACTCGACACTCGTCAACGCATCAACTGACTATCCCTGACAGAACGATTTGTCACGCAGTGAGAGGTTCAGCCATGCAAACAACAATCACCAGTAATGGTCGCTGCTAATGATGTAAAGCACAACGAAATCAGCAGTACGATGATGAGAAAAAGCGAAACGACAGAAGAAAATGAAAATAATGCCTACGCATTCCAAGTTCGTCTCGTCACGTGCGATTGTGTGAGTGACAAAAAAACCTTGCAAAATTAAACGGAAGCTGTTGGGCTCACTCTCATAAGCAAGCAAAGAAGCAACTGGTTCAAAACGAGCACAGATGAGTGTCATGATTGTCGGGAATGACCATATCGGTGATAGATCACCACCGAAGACGACATTCACCAATTGACCACTTTGTCAAGCAGTTTTGGCGTGACTTTCTACCAGCGATTTCACAAAACTTGACTAACTAATTTCTATTTTTTGTGAAACGCACAAATGTTGGCTACTTTTTTCGAGGTTCTAGAAGAACAAATCTTAAAATAATGTTTCATTTCAAAGTTCGAGTGGTAGTAAACGTCATTTTATCTGCTCGAATGAAGTGGTTAATTGCATTTTACTTCTTTCGTCTACTTGATGGATGGTCATGGAGAGTGCTTCGACAAGCACATTGATAGGAATGTACCAAGCTTTACTACCATCAGCTGTTTGATGATCGTGATTGTGATAGGTCGCAACTCCAATGCTACCGATGCCAGGAAGGCAGCTCCCACACCTGATCCCTACCTATCGACCCATTAACTCATGGACCGGGAACCAACGGCTTTACGTGATCAGAGATTTTATGGCTCAGAAAATCCCGGCGGTACTGAGTTGGATCGAACCCAGATCTTTTGAGGTGAGAGGCAGTCACGCTTACCACTACACCACCGGCACCGAGGCTTGGTCGTGATTAGATGCGTTTGTTTTGTTTTATCTATCGTTAGAATTGCCGTTTGAATTCATTCCAACGAATTCCAGTACCATTCCAGGATTAAAACATAGTTACGGGAATACGGGTTAAGAACGCCCGGCGGGGACCACATCCATATCCTCTAGTTTCTTATCAATACTTAATACAGAAAAGATTCTGAAACACCTTGTAGCCCCAGAACTTATGAAGCTTCAAAACAATAAATAAAAGCAAACTTCTCGTTCGGTGGGGCTTTCACGATCTAATTAATAGATCACTGAAAATGCTGAGGTTTTGACAGAACTATTCTGTGGCTACCACAGTATGTAACATTTGATCGTCCATATACAGTAGCGTAAAAAGCATGCTGTGATGGGTTCAAAACTTGACAATCTTTGAGCATCAAATAAAACACTTTTTGATGAACAAACGATGTTTCTGACGTTTATTGGCACCTGTTTTCTTCAGTAGGCTGTACTGCTTCTGTGACTGTAGATAAAGGTATGTAAAAATGCATGAAACATATGAAAATCTACCATGTTGTGAAAAATGTAAACCAGCGGTAAGACGGGCCACTTTTGACGGGGTAAAAGCGTAACCCTTCTTTATCTCGAAATAACTTGAAAATGGCGTCACCCGAGAAGAAACGTCGCGAAGTGATTTTGCGCAAGTACCTGGAAAATCCTCAACTCTCTCATCGGGACATCGGAAAACTACTCGGAATCGTGCAGTCAACTGTGAGTCGTGTGATTAAATTCTACTACGAAACTCTGAGCATCGACCGGAAGGAGAAATGCGGTCAGAATGGATGTTCTATTAGTAATCAGGATTACAAGCGTGTCGTGAAAGCGTTTAAGCGGAATCCCAATACTTCGGTCAGGGATGTGGCCAAATGTTGAATCTGTCCGAGTCCAAGTCGTGCAGAGAGCCAAGGACCGGGAGGAACTGCATACGTACAAAGTGCAGAAGGCTCCAAATCGTGACGAACGGCAAAATACGGTAAGAAAGTCACGGGCCCGGAAACTGTACACCCAGATGCTGACGAAACATCATCATGGATGATGAGACTTACGTCAAGGCGGACTTCGGGTAGCTTCCGGGGCTACTGTTCTTCACCGCCCAGTGCAAGTTTGATGTTCCGGAGGAAGTAAGGAAGCAGAAACTTTCAAAGTTTGCCAAGAAATACATGATTTGGCAATTGACCTGCTCATGTGGCAAACGGAGTGCACCGTTCGTGACTACCGGACTGTAAACGAGGAGATCTACCTCAAGGAGTGTCTACAGAAGCGTCTGCTTCCTCTGCTGAAGCATCACGAGGCCCTACGATCTTCTGGTCGGATCTAGCTTCGTGCCACTATTCAATTTGATGTGGGACACC